TGGGTCTTTGCCCACGAAAGCTTATGCTCCTACACTTCAGTTAGTCTATAAGGTGCCACAGGACTCCTCGTCGCTTTTGCAGATTCAGACTAACACGGCTACCCCTCTGATAGTCTCTTATAGAGTAACTATTTACATGAGGAACAAGGGGTTTTTCGGTTGTTGGTTTTTTTTTTTTTTTTAAGAAAAGAAATAGAAATAAGGAAGAACCGTAACTAGAACTTTAAACTGTGAATTAAATTTTTATGTACAGGTACTCCAAAAGGAGGAGAGAATCTGACTCCGTCTGCAACCGACCGTGGTACAAAGAAAACTGAAGGGAGTGAGGCCGTGTGCGCGAACTCCCAAGGCGCAAACAGTGCGCACCTTCATGCCACCTGACAAAATACTGCTTGAAAAAAATCTCCAATCTGTGGTGCCAGGATGAGCCCAACAGCAACAATGGAGCACCCACAGTGACATCACTAGAAGAAGTGGCAGCTCAAGATGTCTGCCAATGCTCTGGCTGCCTGATAAGTATGCTGCCATGGGAGCTGCATGGTTTCTGATAAATCAATTCCATAGTTTGACAGCCCCTATGCAAAGTGAGTGTGATTGGGCACCCCCCATTGATTGATATACAACATGCAGGCAACGTTGTTCCTGAGGATATGGACTATTTTGTTACCAATTATTGGAAGGAAATAATGGCATGCGTTGCGTATGGCACATAGTTCAAGTAGGCTGATGTGTAGATGAGTTTCCTGTGTGGACTAAGGATGTGGACTAAGTCCTGTGTGGACTTTTAGTTGTTTATACGATTAACCAATATGCCTAGTGACTATATGCAACCCTCCCCTTGCTGCCTCTGTATCAGAGCCTTTATCAAAGGTGGCAGAGGGTGGGGGGCAAGCGGGAGCCAGTGCTCACAGGGAGCCAGTCTTTTAAGCAAGCATATTGGCTCCTGTGGAGCTGCCTCTCCCCTCCCCACTCCGTGCCCTGCTGCCTATCTATCAGAGGCAGCGGAGGGGTGGGGCGCAGTAAGAGTCAGTGCTTAAAGCCAGCTCCCCATGAGTACTGGCTCCTGGCTGTTCCCGCTCCTACCGTGCGTAAACGTGTCACCGCTAAAAAAATTCAGCAGTTGAACATTTACACAAATACACATTTATTAACATCCCTAGTGGGAGCCATCTGCCCTGAATAGTGTGTTGCTACAAACGGGCACCCCAGCCTATGAGGGATGTGTCGGTGGTAATCACCCAAAATGGGGATTTGTGCTATAAACTGAATCCCTGTCAGAACCTTGGGAGGTTGTATCCACCAGCTAAGTGAGATCTAGCACGTCAGCATGGCTCCAAGTCAGAGATCTCCTGGTGCTTGGAGCAGGCATGGCCAACTGGAAAGATATGCTAAGGACACCATGTATGACTGAGCGAACAGGAAGGGGACTTTAAAATTTCAAAAATAACACAAGGGTGGGTCTTGGTCATCTGGCTGGTCATCTCAGCAGGGCAGTAAGCATTCAAACTGATAACCAGAAAGGCCAAATAGGCATTGTGGGAAGGGTGCCAGAGGCTAGTAAGGATGCAGTACTACATTATGGTGTCCACACTGGCACCCCAGCACACTACCTAGAGCACAGTAAACTCTAAGCTTCTCATGGAGGTGGTTTACCTAGAGCGCACTTACATTGAAGCTAGTGCATACTTGCCAGTGTAGACTTGGCCATAGTACATGATACCTGAGAAGCTGACGTAATGTTATCTCTGTGTTGGAACACTGATGTTCCAAATAGGATGGTTTGGAGAAGGAGCTAGATGCCAGTCAGGTTGGTCTAGGAATTTGAGTTGACAATGGTGCTAGGTCCTTTAGACAGTCTTAAGAGTCCCTGGTTTTAGGTGCATCTTGGTGCCTAGAGGTGTCAGATAGTACTGAGGTAAGGGGCTTTTCAGTGCTATTTAGCTGACTGCCTCTCTTATCAGAGCTTCATTGGGTGTACCAGAGCTTCAGTACCACTGTCAGTTGGAGAATCAGTTGTTAAACAGGAATCTTCTGAGAATCAGCTCTATGTGGTGACATATCCTTCTTTCTAGAACATGGGTTCTCAAACTGGGGGGGCGTGAAGAAATTCCAGTGGGGACACAAGGCAACCCAACCACACACACACCCCGTCAATCCCACCCCATGTTTTACTGCTATTTTTGGGGGGGGGGGGCGTGAGGGTTTCTCAAAAATCAAAAAGGGGGGCGTGATGCCGAAAAGTTTGGGAATCACTGTTCTAGAACTTCAAATAGCAGACAGAGATGCTCTCTTGGTTTTTGAGAGTTTCACCTTTGGAACAACTTCTGTAACTCCAGAAGACACTCAATTGGCTTAAGAGGTTAAAGACAACATACCCTATGGGAGTATTATATTAAATGAAGCTTCAGTTTAGCCTGTCTACCTTTGATCACCCAAGCAGTCTTTACATTTTGATGTTATAGGAGTTTCTCTGAGTTACTAAAATCAACTAGAGAGCCCATCACTATGAGAAAGAGACCTACAGCAGTTCTGATGAGGCTGGAATGCTAGGGTCTTAGGCACTATACAGAGAACTACCAGAAACCACAAGGGGCAAGAAGTTTGAGGGATAGCCCTCCACAGCACAAAATCTGCTACAATGAAAAAAAGTCTAGAAAATAAAAACTATGATAAGCAAAACAATATGGGAAGTAAACAATCAAGGCAGGAAGTAGGTGAAAGCAGTGAGAGAGACAATCACCGTCTCAAACCACAGGCTGTTGAAAAGAAATTGAAATGGTGGTAAGTCAATGCCTCCTCATACACCCTCAAATAGGAGCCCAAAGCACTGCTTGGAATATATCTGCAGACACTGATATTTACAATCTGCAGTGAAGAGTCCAAACACAAACACATCTCATAGTGGAGCACCCATAAGAATACACACCCAAAGAACATGGCATTGAAGTTAGTCTTTAAAACAAGACTGGGTGACTTATTTAAGCTGGTCTACACTTAAGCATTAAATTGACACAGTGTCCCATGTTGAATCCCTGGGCTTCTTGGGACCACAACCAACCCCATGTCTCCTGCAACACAACTGTAGTTATACACTGATGCCCCACTCACCAGGGCCGTGCAGCCTAACAGCCCGGAGTCACTAGCAAACATGCTGCTCAACAAGGAAGTGCAGCCTAACAGCCAGAGTCTCTAGCAAATGCCCTGCTCACCAGGACAGTGCTGCCTAACATACTTAAATTCACATACTTTGTAATAACTCCTCAGATGTTTTTCATTTGTGTCTCACCAAATTTTGCCACTCTATTTTTCACATTAAACACAGATTTTACTAAAGACCCTTGGAGCATTCTTTACTCTTTTGCCATGTTAAAAATTAACCTTTTAGTCCTTTTTTCTCTCTTTGCAAGTTTCTACTTCTCTTTCATTGCATGACTTAATTTCTACAACCTTTTAAAAGAGATTTGTCAAAGTCTTCTCCTTTAGTGTGTGTCCACATGCTCAAAATTTCCAGTAGATTAGAGACATGACAATGTGATGTGTAGGAAATCTAGCTGTCTTAAAACTCTAATTTTGCCTTTCAATCACTTTTCTTAAAAATTAAGTAAAGCTCATTGCTCTAATTCCTAGAATCATATCTAGTGTATTTTAAAGGCATGTACATTTGCTACTTTGGATAAAAAATATAATCTCAAAATGAAGGTTTTCAACACTAACCACACCTTTTAAAAAAGTGAAAATTTTCACATGGGATGAATTCCAACTCTCCCATGAGTCACAATAACCTAGCGCTAACAATTTATATTGTGACAATGGAAAAAGCCATTCCAAGACAGATTTTCAAAACCGCCCAAGAAATTTGGCCCTCAAATTTCCATTAAATGTCATGTGAATTGGATATCCAAAGGTCCTGTATGGCATTGAAGATCTCTCTGAGAAAAGAGCTGGAATTAACATAGCAGCTACACAAACAGCTCCTGTACTAGGAGAAAATGAATTGTTCAGCTTGACTCAACCAGCTAGACCTTTCTTCATTCCTTGACATGGGTAGCAGCACATTCTTAATAGTAACAAAAGAAAGCCACCAACAATATTCCCACTAACCTTTTTCATCCATATACAGATTTTTTTTCCCAACCATGTGTGGAATATATTTTTATGTGCAACGAGTCATGTTCATCACCAGTGCAAACAAAAACATCTAAATGTGGGCACTCTGCTAATCAAGTGGGCAGCATTTGAATGAGGGATGTTAGATAGAGTGTAACTGCCTACCCCCCTGCCATCTCTCTAAAAGACGCAGCAGAGTGGGAGAGACGGGGGGGGGGGGGGGGGGGAGGAGGCAGGCAAGCCACCTCCCTGACCTTGCTACATCTGATACAGAGTCAGCAATGGAGAGAGATGCATGTAGCTGACAGGATTAACCAATAAGCCCAGGCTTATTGGTTAATCATGTAGTCATCTACACGTTGACATCACTAAAGTGACTCTCTCCTGAGTGTGCTTGCATGGCCACTGCTTATAGGGAACACTGACCATCAATACAAATAGTTGAAATATTCAAGCAAAACATTTCAACACAAGAAAATAGTGATAAATAGGATCCAGTGATAACAACAAATTCTATGAATGGCTAGCTATGATCTCACATTGGCATGCTTATATGTGACAATTCTGAACCCATTATTTATTGCAAGCCTCTGGTTTCAAAAAAAGATCCATGTTCAAGGATACAATCAAGAATCTGGAATATGTACATCACTTTTTGTTCAGTAAATACTCTTATATCCAGTGTTTAAAAACATTATTTCTACAATAGTCCTTCTGTGACTAAGATTGTTGATGGAAAAAAGTAATACGGAAATTTTTCCCAGAAATATAAATACTTATGACAAGAAAATGGGGTGAGGCATAAGAACAAAACTATAAGCCACCACTGCATTACATCTCATAATACAGGAAATGTATGATCAAGATAAATAGGAACATCGTCCACACTATACCTCTATACTTGGACTAAGGCTGCTTGGCAGTGTTTCTGATGTTACTGTTGTACTTGGAAGGCTGGAGAAGTCCCATGTATTCACAGGTTGCACTGGTTCAGATAGATTAGGGTGATCAATACATTTTGGATTGTCCAGTAAGGTCACTTCATAAAATTCTTGAATATCTAGAAATGTAAAACAGTTCAGAAATGAGATTTTATATAACAGTACAATTAAATTCAGAGGCTGTTTTTGTAATCTTTAAAAAAAAGTTACACGGAAACTATACGGAGTCTTAGAACCATAAGCAGAATGAAAAACAAGATGTAAACTCGCATTGCCTTGGTAAAAGCTATATACAGTAAACTTCCGATAATCCGGCACCTTTAGGACCCAGGGGGTGCTGAATTATCAGATATACGGGACTATCAGAACGGGGGGCTATGAGAGGTCTGGGGTAGGGACCCCAGACCCCTCATAGCCCCCCCTTCCGATAGTCCGGCTCTGCCCCGGGCGTCCCTGATTCAGCCGCTTCTGGTCAGTTTCAGCAGCGGCTGAATCGGGGACAGCTGGGGTGCTGCCGGGTTGGTCCCGCAGCCCCTAAGGGCAGCGCTACAGGACCTACCCGGCGGCACTCCAGCTGCTCTGCCCCTGGCTTCCCCAATTCAGCCGCTGGTCAGTTCCAGCAGCGGCTGAATCGGGGACAGCTGGGGTGCTGCCGGGTTGGTCCCGCAGCCCCTAAGGGCAGCGCTACAGGACCTACCCGGCGGCACTCCAGCTGCTCTGCCCCTGGCTTCCCCAATTCAGCCGCTGGTCAGTTCCAGCAGCGGCTGAATCGGGGACAGCTGGGGTGCTGCCGGGTTGGTCCCGCAGCCCCTAAGGGCAGCGCTACAGGACCTACCCGGCGGCACTCCAGCTGCCCGGAGCACTTCCAGGTTCTTGATGGTGCCAGACCATCAGGAGTGCCAGACCATCGGAGTTTTACTGTATCACTGATCAACTAATTAATGCAGTACTAAGCTACCAAAAAACAAAGTTCCTTACCAGTTATAACATTTTTAATGTTAAGTTTCAATTATCTTATGCAAGAGAAAGGAATGTACTTTTTCACATAAATGATCTGGAGAAAGGGGTAAGCAGTGAGGTGATAAAGTTTGCGGATGATACCAAACTGTTTAGGATAGTCAAGACAGAAGCAGACTGTGAGGGACTCCAAGAAGATCTCACCAAACTGAGTGAGTGGGCAACAAAATGGCAAATGAAATTTAATGTGGATAAGTGTAAAGTAATGCACATCGGGAAAAATAAACCCAACTATACGTACAGTATGATGGGGGCTAATTTGGCTACGACAAATCAGGAAAGAGATCTTGGAGTTATCGTGGACAGTTCTCTGAAAACTTCCACACAGAGTGCAGCGGCAGTCAAAAAGGCAAATAGGATGCTA